CGTATGTGTGCTTATATGCCTATAAACGGTTTCGTATCCATGTTGGAGTCTAGCCTTCATCTGCGCAGTGCGGTGAGAGTCCGTAATATTGTTAAGTGCATCGAAGTGACCAACTCGCCATCGCCACACTGCATGAAAGTACAGCACGGCCCCTAGTCTCCAGCAATGGTCCACCAGTGTAGTGACCGCTTCGATGAAAAGGCTAGAGGAGTTGTGCTCGAACATTGACTCTGCTTTCTTCCAAATGCCCGCCGGAACTTGGGGAAGAGATAGACTGAACAGCGCGCGATTGAAAAGGCCTGCTGGGACCCCTGCCTCCTCCAAGGCTTTGTCAGCTGGCCCCTCAGTTTTTCTGCGGCTGGGCAGGGCCAAAACACGTGATAGATATCAGCCTCAGTGAGGTGAATGCAGCCGGTATGAGGGCAGCCCACCTTGTGACTACCAACATCATATAGTCAGAAAGCATTCCATTTCAGACGGATGAGAAGCAGTTCCCCCCACGGGCCCAAACCGACGATTCTGCGGACTTGTTTCCAGGCAAAGGCATCCAAACTCGCCGCTGCTACGTTGTCTGCATTTGGCCATCTTAATTGTCTCTCGCTAGCCTTGGACGCCCCTCTTTTTAGAGCGTGCAGCGCTGCTCGTTTCTTGTAATCATTCCTGGGCCGGGTCCACCACCGACCACCTACCCACAAGCATGCAAGCCGACACAGATACGGGTGCGGCCGTACAGTTAAAACCACGGTGTTCGGAACTAGTACCGAGATTAGACAGCGGTGCAGCGAGTGTAAGCTGTCCACCTGCCGACATGCTGTAGGTCCTGCAGCCTCCGTCCGAAGTATCGCCTCGACCGTATCCCCACGACGCAGAGTGACTGTTAACGGATGATCCCGTGAATTCGCAGTGAATCGCACTTCCGATGGGTACACTAGGACTTCCGCAATGGTGACGAAGTTACTAACCAGTGTCAAGGCCAAATTCTCGTTCTGGGCTTTCTTGCAACTCCCATTCCGCGTGGTTCTGAAGGTGAAATTCAAGCGACCTGTGGTCATTCTCGTCCAAGTGACCGTGTCTTGTAGAATTGTGTTGGTTTTTTCATATAGATGACACGCCTGTGCCAACGTTGTCCAGATCCCATTCCGGTCCCATACTCTAACCGTAGTCATGTCTGTATACGGCAGCCATTCCACCGCGAGCTTAATAGGTGATACCTGTTCCAGTTGTGACCTTACCGGGGTGATGTTGGCTAGGATTGTCCTGCAGTCCATAATTAGAGTGTCCTCCTTCTTTAATCGTGTCCGACTGACTGTATATTGCCATTGCAAGCGGGTTCAAAAGTGCAGGTAATTCCTCGACTCCTTTCGGTGCCCCATCCATGCTGACGAGTAATTTTCCTGTTTCCCATAGTGTGGACTGGTGTCGAAATGTGCCGGATGTTGGGTCAACGTACCCTGGTGTGATGTAGACACTTGGTGCTACAGGAAACCGTTCACGGATGAAAAGGACGTCTCCGACGATGTGAGCTTGTCTTGTTGCTGAATGTGCCCAAATGCCGACTACTATTGCTGCAAGCGCTAGGATTTCCACGCGTAGGTTAGGCAGTGAGAGACCTCCTCTGTGTCTGGGCAAGGCTGCCAAGTCTGCGTCAAGCCACGCTCTGCCATCCTCCGCATCGGTTGTGAAGTGCCCGTGCCAGACGTAGTGTTTAATTCTCGAGTCCATGGCCTGGACCTCCATCACCGACGGCCATGCGTGACGCACTGTATAGAGGAGTTTCGGTATAATGATGGCACTGGCAATCCTGCTGCGCTGGTCGACAGTGAGGAGGTTTTGGCTTGCCAGCCGCAATCATGTTGTAAGTTGTTGCAGAGCTACCGTCCACGACCTCTGTGGATTCCGTTTACTTCCAACTTGGATCCCCAAGGTACCTGCAGGTTGCATCGGTCGGTTGGTAGTGCAGTTCCGGCGGTAGTGTCACTGATGAAGTCGCTCCCTCCGGATGTAGTGCTACAACCAGTGTCTTGTCGGTGTTAATTTGCAGTCCCGACGCCTTGCCGAAGGAGGTAACCAGGTGGAGTAGCGCAGGGATGTCCTTCGGGTTGGCGACAAAGGCCGCAGTGTCGTCTGCGTAGCCCGCAACACGCAGCTCAAATCGACCAGTCTCTGAATGAACTATGACCCCTTTTGCACCCCATAAAGCCGTCCAATTTTCTGTACAGAGGGTCCAAAGCCAGGATGAACAGCATCGGTGCCAAAGGGCAGCCCTGCAGAATTCCGCTCGTAACCCGTACATATCGTGAGGTGGACCCATTTACCAGGAAACGCGCCCGTGTACCTTCAAATGTACTGTCAATTGCTCGGACAAATTTTTCTGGGTATCCTTTCCGCCTAAGAATGGACAACATGTATGCTCGATCGAGTGAGTCGTAGGCCTTCTTGAAGTCCAGCAGTAGTGCAGAAGCCTCTCTCTGAGAGAGATCAGTGAGTACCATACTTTGTGCTGCTTCGTACAGGTCTATCGTGTCGTGGATTTGTCTACCAGGAACGAAGCCATTTTGGTTGGGGTGTATGTGATCTGGCAGCGTCATGCTGACTCTACTTGCCAGTATCTTCATCAGGAGCTTATAGTCCGTGTTAAGCAGGGCAATTGGGCGGAAGTTGAGTGCATTTCGCGAGGATCCCCCTTTTTTGAGGCAGAAGATATCCGCGTCCAGAAATGAAGGCGGGAAGACTCCTGCGTCGTACCAGAGATTAAAAGATTTTGCCAGAATCGGAATGAGTAGGTTTTCGTAGTCTCGATACCATCCATTGCCCAGCCTATCCGAACCCGGCGCTTTGCCTCGTTCACATTTGTGGAGCGCAGCCCTCACGTCGTCCTCAGTAATTTCTGCAGCGATCGCGGTCTGAGCTGGTGTGGACTGGTCCGCTCGGGGAATCCAATGGCCGACTTCCTCTACATTGGGCCAGTCCGCAGCATCTTGCTGTAGAATGGGTGTCCACGCGTCCGCCAAGGGGTCAGCTTTGTCGTGAACTCCTCTCACTGGTGCGCCTGGGACCGGATCCAGCTTATGGACAGTATTGTCGCTAAATTTAGACGATACTCTTCTAAAATAGGAACGTGTAGTTTTGCATGTCCAGTGGGCTGCTCTTGGACCAAGCGGCGTTGTTTAAGCTCGTTTCTAGTCTGTTTGCACTCGGCAATGCCCGCCGTAAGAGAGCTTCATGAGTCGGCCCCGCTGTTGTGTCCAGTGTAAGTCCGTCTAGCTCGTCAGTGATTGATTCTACCGTCGGAGGTTGACCCATTTTATCTTGTAGCAGACGGTGTTGCTGACGTACCAATCGGGCCAATTCATGTTTGAGAGATTGTCTCCTTGATTTTCGCCGCTCTCGGATACATAATCGGGTTCTACGAGCAATTTCACTCTTCAACGCCTCCCACTGCACGCTGGTCTCTTCCGCTGAGTACACATTTTTGCTAAAGCGCTCAGCAAACTCTTTTAGAACATGAGTGGTAGCCTTCTTGACTGCGACCTCTGCAAATTGAGGTACCGTGTGAATTCGTGGTGGCCGGCGGATTCGGATAGGGTCCTCCGGTGATCTGACGTGCAGTTTAGTTCCGAGATGATCCGACTTCGCTCTGAGTTGAACTGTGTGCCAGTCGGCCACCCACGACAGTGTGCAAGGTGACATATGCCGCCGATCCAGCCGTGAGGATGCCTCTGTTTCCCCAGGAAGCGTGTAATGATAAGTGTGAGTCTCGAAGTGGTGTCGTAGTAGACCTTCATGTGTCCATTTCGACGGTCGTGCGCTGCCGACGTCAAGTCGGTCAAGAGGGAGAGCAAGACGGAGTCGAAGGCGTCGAAGGAGACCAAGTCGGACGCCACCGACAAGTCGAATGACAAGTAAAATCAAGCTGAAACCGTGTGAGAAAAGTAGTATATGGGTGAAAGACGTTGTAAGCCCGCGTTGAACTGTGTAGCGTAGAAAACTAAAGTGGCAGGTGTAAGGAATACAAAGCCAATGGATGTGATCGCTTTACCATGTTAAAGTGACATGTGTCCCCGAATTATCAGTTGCTAAAGTCGTTAGCGATGTAGATCAATGCTCCGATTGCAGCAGCGGTAGCGTAGAAGCTTACGATATAGAGTAGAAACCACGAATTACAGCACGCGGACGTGCAATCACTGTCAATCTGCGTGGGTTTGCAAAACAAACCTTGTGCCATCAAATGGAAGACTCATCAGTGCATTCATTCCTCTCCTTATACAGTGCTCTGCTAGTGGAATCGTGTACGGCAGTGGTGTAGATAGCCTATAGACAAGTTGCCCTTATTTGAGTAGTAGTAGTAGTGGCAGTATCCGTAGTAGTAGTAGTAGTAGTAGTGGCACTAGTAGTAGTCGAAGTAGGAGTAGTATTGGCTGAAGCCGTAGTAGTAGTAGTGGCAGTAGCCGTAGTAGTAGTAGTAGTAGTAGTAGTAGTAGTGGAAGTGGCCGTAGTAGTAGCTGTTGTGGCAAGTCGTCGTCGTAGTAGTTGTAGTAATAGTAGTAGTAGAAGTCACTGAAGGAATTGAAGTTGAGTTGATGTAGTAGTCCAACATTTGCTGACAAAGTAATACAAGTGGCCGCTGTTGCTTTTTCTTGTTGCAATAATAGTACTTCGAAGTATTAGACTGTGTGTGATCTTGCATTCTCAAAATACGTCTAATATACTTCTCCTAGACCACGATGTCTGCATTACTACAGTTCGCAGTCTATCTCTTATTGTTGACCCGACTCATTCTCTCAACGCTTCTCTCTCTTCGACTCGCGATCAATCACAACGAACGAAGAAAAACAATGCCACGACGAGGGGCGACCACGATGGATGATGCAACATCAACGCCCAGACCGCAGCTCGATCGGACTAACCTCCTCGCTCTCTCACTTGTCATCTTGCTTCCTCCCTGATACTGGACAACCAACCTCCAGCTCGATCAACTAGTTTTGCAACTGCCCAACAAGATGCACTCCAAACTTCTCGCTATAGTGGGCCTGTGTGTCGCTGCTTCTATTCTGCATGCGACTGACGCCGCTAATAGAATGCCCCCACGTCGTCAACTCGGGTCTTACAAGGACTACGGCCACAGCCAGCACAAGCGCGACCACGACCACAAGAAACACCACCACCACCACGACAAGAAGGACCACTCGCGCTACTACCGTCGCCGCCTCGAAGATAAGGACACCAAGGCTACCGATTATAAGGACACCAAGGCTACCGAGTCTTCGGACTACAGCTACGGCAAAGGCGATTATGGTCACGGGCACGACCACCACGGCTATGGCCATGATAACTATGGTCACGATGACTGTGGCCGCGATAACTACGGCCACATTGATTATAAGCACCTCGACTACAAGCACAAAGGCTACGAATACGTTAGCGGCGACGACTATAAGGGCTATGGTAGCGGCTACAGCTACAGCTTTAAGAGCTATGGAGGCGACTGCGATGATTACTACGAACACGGCAACGACTACTACGGTTACGGCAACGACTACTACCCTGATTACTACTCGTCATATGGTGGTGGCAACGGCAACGGCTACTACCCCGACTACTACTCGTCGTACAATGGTGGGTACGGCAATGGAAATGGATACTACCCGGACTACTACTCTTCTTACGGCTACCCCAGTTACGGCGGCTACGGCTACTCCAACTACGGGTACCCAAGCTACTTTGGTTATGAGTCGACCACAGCGAGTGTCGGTGCTACTGGTGACGAGAAAGAGTCTGCGACTGCGAATGGTCAGAAAGAGTCTGCGACTGTGTCTACGGACGCTGCCGACGTCAAGTCGGTCAAGAAGGAGAGCAAGACGGAGTCGAAGGCGTCGAAGGAGGCCAAGTCGGATGCCACCGACAAGTCGAACGACAAGTAAAATCAAGCTGAAACCGTGTGAGAAAAGTAGTATATGGGCGAAAGACGTTGTAAGCCCGCGTTGAATTGTGTAGCGTAGAAAACTAAAGTGGCAGGTGTAAGGAATACAAAGCCAATGGATGTGATCGCTTTACCATGTTGAAGTGATATGGGACACCATATTTTCATATTTCACAGCTCGTTGGGTATTTGGATCACTAAAAACTCCAATTGCAGCAACGGTAGAGTAGAATCTTACAATTAAGAGTAGACACAAAGAATTATTAATACAGCACGCGGACGTGCAACCACTGTCAATTTGCCAGAACAAACGTTGCGCTATCACCAAGTAAGACTTATCCGTGCATCCAATTCTCTACTTGTGCAGTACTCTGCTAGAGGAGTCGTGTACAGTGTTGTAGAGAGCCCATAGACATGTTCACGGGCGCAGTGGTAGCAGGGGTCTGAATAAAGAAATTCAGAATCACTAAAATCAGTTTTTTACAATGCAAATACGGATTACTGCAACTTTCTTAAAAACTATTAATATGATATTGCTCCAACATTTGCAGTATAACTTACAAAAGTAGCCTTACGAATCAATTGGACGTCAGCAGCCATATATTGAGGTCTGTATTGCCCATACTAGCTCTGTATGAATCTGATAGCCTATTATTACTTCAGAGTCCACAAACAAGCAGCTTGCAACGAACTGCTCACTCGATTATTACCACTTCCGAGAGCACCCTCCCTCAAGAACGATGCCCTCCAACAACAAAAATCGGAGCTTACTTCTACGAGCCCCCAGTCAATTCCGTATAATACAGTATTGGAGAACCCCTAAGTGGTAGTAGCCCTTGTTTGAGTAATAGTAGTAGTAGTAGTAAGTAGTTGCAGAAACTGATGTTGTTATGAAGTAGTAATCCAAATCTTAGTTGTTGAAGTAGTACAAGTGGCCAAAGCTGGTTTTGCTGCAATAGTAGTAGTAGCTTTTGTTAAAAGTAGATGCATTCGCGGATCTTGAGATTTAATATATCTCTAACTACTTCTGCTAGAGCGCCACTTTACGGCTACAGCGTTGGAGACCATTTTTGTGTACATACTTGCGTAATTCTGGTAATTTTTGCGTTTTTTGCACTACTGTTGGAGTGCTCTAACGACAAAGACCTCTCGCCATCTGGTTTCAATGAGGTTGCAATACTTAAGCTAATGCATGTCCGGGACTGCTTTGCAAATACATGTACTCGTAGTATTAAAATGTATAAAATATTAGTAGCAGCACCAACTATTACTTCCTCGGTGTTTGCCACACAATTGTGTAGACACTGTGTAGAGTCTAGCTCATTCCTGCACATCGCCGCCACTTCAACCACGAGCTGCAAGTATGTACCGGCAGTCTGACTGTCAGCCATGGCATGACTTGACTGCCATGTACAGAGCTTCTGTCAGATGGGGTGCGCCGCACATCCGGCCCGGATGATCCGGGACTGAACAAAGTGTACATGAACTGTAGTACAGTTACTGTACTACATGTACAGCGGTACTGTACCAAGCACTACATGTACTGTAGTTACTTGTTTAAGTTACAGACCGTAATACTGTACGCTATTACCGCTGACCCGCTAACACATGTACTGGAACTTCATACACAAGCCAGGCTGTACAGTATACGACGCCCGCTGGTTTCTTTTGATCGCGATACTGTGCAGTACATCCATGCACTGCGTTGCAGAATGTAAAGGGTACTGCACGCGGTGGATTCTGCGGCATTTTCGAAGCATTCCTTTAATTCTTAACGTGCCCCCTTCAAGGGAGGCCGAACACACGCGAAATTAACCCTACAATGCTAAATGATTCTACAAATTAAACCTTTTATTTTTAATTGCTAAAAGATATAATAAAAATGCTGCATTATCTGTTACATGTATTGTGTTTTTGACTGCTTCGGCTAAATAAGCTCAGGAAATATGAGGATGCGTTGCATCGGCATTGAGAGGGGCTTTGCTAGTAAGTGCCCCAATTTATTATTTATGCACAAAATCTTACATACTGTAAGATATTGTATGCTTACCGCCGATATGGGCATAATATGTATTATGTGTTCCCGACTCAGGCAAATCTACGCCTGAGTCGGGAACACAGACTTCGCGTCGCAAAGAATGGTGATACACTGGCGGTAATAAGCTCTAAAGGTCGTCAACTAATTGTGAATAGACTGCTGGTAAATTCACAAATGGTCTCTGTTTTCGTCCTCAAGCTGGCACGTTCTCAATTTCAAGACTCAAAAGGACAGTGGTTTCATGCTAATGGCTGGCGTTGGCATGGGACCATCATGTCATTGCTGGCAGCAACTTGCTACGCGCCGTGCAGTGCTGCACTGCATGTGCTTGACGGCCGTTCTCAACGTGGCCTGCGTCACCCGCCAATCATTGAAGAACTAGAATACCGCGAGCTCAGTGCTTCAACGTCCCTGCTGTACAATGTACAGTACAGTACACGTGCTGCTACTGGCCCAGCACACACTGTGAGTCTCTGTGTATCTGGAGCCCAGATACACATTTCTGGACGTTGCCAGAACAGTACATATGCTATACAAGGCTTTTGTGCGTGAAATTCAAGAGAGATTATATATTTGTTTTTCTAGCTGTCAGTCTTCTAGTAAAATCTCCGTCGTTTTGTTAACACCACCTCGGTTTCGTTCTGACATGGTGGTAGGGGTTACGCTGGTGATGCTACTAGCCGTAGTTTTAAAGCCTTGGGTCCGAGTTTGAGCGTGAAATTTATCTGCGAGTGTACATTCATGGTCTGTACACTCATCTTGAACCACGCCTTTAGTCGCAAGGCGGTATCGACTACATTAATCTCCATCGGAAATTATTGTAGGGGGGGGGGGGGCAAGTTGAATCTGTCTGCATTGCTCCGAGCAATTTACATCAAATTTTGATCGAGTTGCATGCTGTGCTGACCTGCACTACGGTAGTACCGTGCCCATTGTTTGCTCGATTAAAATCTCCTACACTAATCTCCTACACTAATCTGCGGGGCTCAACGAGGATGGACTTCCCAAGATACAGATTGCATTTCAGTAAATAATATACTGGACGACTATGTTAAACTCCTGAAACGTGAAGAGCATACTCTCAGGGATGCCATTCATTATTCCCACTGGGCAGTAGAAAGAAACCACGATCTCTCATTCTCGAATTTGAGGACTTGCGCTCGGATCTCGACCCTTCTTGCCGAAGCCTGATTCGCACCACCGACCAATAATGGCCCCAGTCCCTGAGTCGCCGGGTAGTGGCTATGTTCCAGCGTTGACGCCGAGCGTCTCCGGCACGCCTCCTGCCCCGCAAGAGAAGATGAACGTCGGAGAATACCTTAAGTCCCGTGTCACTACGCTCAAACCACCCATGCAGAAAGCCGAGAACCCGTTCAAGGTGCTTGGTCTGCTCAATCGCCTTCAGTGGATGCAGTTCCTCATCGCGTTCATTGCATGGTCCTGGGACGCGTTTGACTTCTTCACCGTGTCGATGACCATCGAGGAGTTGGCGGAAGAGTTCGGCAAAACCAAGACGGACATCACGTGGGGCATCACACTTGTGCTCATGCTGCGATCGGTACGCCATTGGACTAATACTCCGTCAACACGATGCCTATGGCTAATAGCAGTGAAACTATTGTTATGTGCAGGTCGGCTCAATCACGTTCGGCATCGCATCGGATCGTTGGGGACGGTACGATATATGGCAATTTCCAGCAGTGAAACGCTAGGCTAACCGCGATTACTTGTTGTTGTCTTCAGCAAATGGCCATTCGTGGTCAATAACATTCTCTTCATCGTGCTGGAGCTCCTGACGGGATTCTGCACCACTTACACGCAGTTCCTGTGGGTTCGCGCGTTCTTCGGCATTGCAATGGGCGGCTTGTATGGTAACGTGGCCGCGACAGCTCTTGAAGACTGCCCGCCGGCCGCCCGTGGTATCATTTCAGGTATGATGCAGCAGGGGTACGCATTCGGTTACCTCCTGGCCGTCGTCTTTGCGCGTGCTCTTGTCAACACTACAAGTCACGGATGGCGCCCGCTGTTCTGGTTCGGGGCTTGCCCGCCAGTTCTGATCATCATTGCTCGATTGTATCTTCCGGAAACGAAGGTGTACCAAGAGCGCCAGGCCGTGCGCGAGGCTACGCCCGACATCACCAAGACGTTCATCGCGGAGGGGAAGGTCGCGTTCAAGCGCCACTGGATGCTGCTGACCTACCTGGTCCTTCTTATGGCTGGTTTCAACTTCATGGTAAGCATACCACCGGAAAAGTATCATTGCTGATTATCGCCTGTCGCTGTACTGATACGTCTTGCTTCACAACAGTCCCACGGCTCGCAAGACCTGTACCCAACGATGCTGAAAAACCAGTTTGAGTTCTCCGCCGATGAAGTCACTGTGACACAAGTCGTCGCCAACCTCGGTGCTATCACCGGTGGGACCCTGGTGGGTTACTACTCCCAGATCTTTGGCCGTCGTCTGAGTATCATCGTAATGGCACTCGTCGGTGCTGCGCTGCTGTACCCGTACAGCTACACGGACAACACTAAGATAATGATCGCTGCCTTTTTCGAGCAGTTCTGTGTACAGGGAGCGTGGGGTGTCGTACCCATCCATCTCATGGAGCTCTCACCGCCTTCGTACAGCACACTGATCGTCGGAACCTCATACCAGCTGGGCAACTTGATCTCGTCGGCTTCGTCGACCATCGAGGCGCGCCTTGGCGAGAACTACCCGCTGCCGCCAACCGATGAGGGCGTGAGCCGCTACGAATACGGAAAAGTCATCTGCATCTTCATGGCAGTGGTGTACGCCTACCTGGTATTGCTTACGTTCCTCGGCCCCGAGGCTCGCGGCAAGGAGTTCGACGTTGCTCATGACCGCGATCTGGAAGAGGCAGCACGCATGAACCAAGAGGATCTTGACAAGATTCTAAACAATGACGCAGAGAGCGACAAGGCAACCAAGCAAGGCTAAGCTGGCCGTACCGGTACATGTAATGGATCAACACGTTCATCAGCATGATATGACTGTTTAACTAAGCATGCAAACCCCGCACCATTGTCTTCAATCCCGATCTACTTTTTAGTTACTTAAAGTATTGATAAGTCTAATGAGGTGGGGTGAACAGGACCGCACACACATTAAAATAACAAGACACATGCACGGGTCAGAATTCAACTGGACGTAATACGCAGCCCCGAGTGTTATTGTCGAGTTGTCATCGATGATTGTTACCCGGATTTGTCGAGAATCGTTTTAAAACCTCGAGAAGCAGGCTCTCGAATAAAAAGTGAATTTGAGACCGGGAACACCTTTCAAGGAAAGCACTGCGCGTGATTATCGGGAGCCAAGCTCCAGAATGAACCTGACATTTTCAGGATAGCGTTGTTGGATGCACGTGGTTGGTGCACATTGATGCATAAGATGAGCATCTTATGCACCGCATCAAACTATGGGTAAATCTTATAAATAAGGTTTGTAATATAATAGGGGATGTCCAATGTCGGCAGCAGCTAGTAGCTTTTTATTTCTTGTAGTAATGCAGACATCGCGGTCTAGGAGAAGTATATTAGACGTATTTTGAGAATGCAAGATCACACGAATACTTACACAATCTAATACTTCGAGGAACTATTATTGCAACAAGAAAAGCAACAGCGGCCACAAGTATTACTTTGTCAGCAATTTTTGGACTACTACTTCGAAACAACTTCAATTCCTTCAGTGACATCTACTATTACTACTGTTAATTCTACTACGGCTACTGTCACTTCTACTACTACGGCTTCAGTAAATACTACTACTACTACTACGGCTACTGCCACTACTACTACTACTACTACTACTACTACTACTACTACTACTCAAACAAGGGCAACTTGTCGATAGGCTCTCTACGTACACGACTCCACTAGCAGAGCACTGCATAAGGAGACAAATGAATGCACTGATGAGTCTTACTTGTATATGACACAAGGTTTGTTTTGCAAACTCACGCAGATTGACAGTGATTGCACGTCCGCGTGCTGTAATTCTTGGTTTCTACCACCATATGACGAGTAGTAATCAGGGTAGTAGTCGTTGCCGTGACCGTAGTAGTCGTCGCAGTCGCCTCCATAGTTCTTATAGCTGTAGCTGTAGCCGCTACCATAGCCCTTGTAGTCGTCGCCACTAACGTATCCGTAGCCTTTGTGCTTGTAGTCGTTGTGCTTATAATCATCGTGGCCGTAGCTATCTCGGCCACAGTCATCGTGACCATAGTCATCATGGCCATAGCCCTGGTGGTCGTGCCCGTGACCATAATCGCCTTTGCCGTAGCTGTAGTCCGAAGACTCGGTAGCCTTGGTGTCCTTATAATCGGTAGCCTTGGTGTCCTTATCTTCGAGGCGGCGACGGTAGTAGCGCGAGTGGTCCTTCTTGTCGTGGTGGTGGTGTTTCTTGTGGTCGTGCTCGTGCTTGTGCTGGCTGTGGCCGTAGTCCTTGTAAGACCCGAGTTGACGACGTGGGGGCATTCTATTAGCAGCGTCAGTCGCATGCAGAATAGAAGCAGCGACACACAGGCCCACTATGGCGAGAACTTTGGAGTGCATCTTGTTGGGCAGTTGCAAAAGTAGTTGATGACCCTGGAGGTTGGTTGTCGAGTGTCGGAGAGGAAGCGAGATGACGAGTGAGAGAGCGAGGAGCAGCCGATCCGATCGAGCTGCGGTCTGGGCGTTGATGTTGCATCAGCCATCGTGGTCACCCCTCGTCGTGGCATTGTCTTTCTTCGCTCGCTGTGATTGATCGAGAAGACGATGAGAGAGAAGCGTTGAGAGAATGAGTCGAGTCAACAATAAGTGATAGACTGCAAACTGTAGTTACGCAGACATCACGGTTTAGGAGAAGTATATTAGACGTATTTTGAGAATGCACGATCACACGAATACTTACACAATCTAATACTTCGAGGTACTATTATTGCAACAAGAAAAAGCAGCAGCGGCCACAAGTATTACTTTGTCAGCAATTTTTGGACTACTACTTCGAAACAACTTCAATTCCTTCAGTGACATCTACTATTACTACTACTACTACTACTACGGCTACTGTCACTACTACTACTACGGCTACTGTCACTACTACTACTACTACGCCTTCAGCCAATACTACCACTGCTAATACTACTACTATATGGATACTTCCACTACTACTACTACTACTACTACTACTACTACGGCTACTGCCACTACTACTACTCAAAAAAGGGCAACTTGTCTATAGGCTATCTACACCACTGCCGTACACGATTCCACTAGCAGAGCACTGTATAAGGAGAGGAATGAATGCACTGATGAGTCTTCTTGTTATTGGCACAAGGTTTGTTTTGCAACTCATGCAGATTGACAGTGATTGCACGCCCGCGTGCTGTAATTCTTGGTTTCTACTCTATATCGTTAGTTTCCTTCACGCAACCGGATTGGGGCTAATGTAGTGCATTGCAGTGAGTCGAGGGCGCGGTGAGGCGGGTCGACTTTATCGGTGCGGAGGAAGAAGCAGAGTGAGCGGCTTCGCTCTCCGTCTAGTTAGCACTACTACATCTATCTTGAGCAGCTTTATCCACGATCGCATGTGTTGGTTGATCTCATGCTCTGCTCAATCGCATGAAGGCACGTTTGTGAATCCTTATGCTCCCGGAAATAGCAGTATCCGCTACTAGGATACTCAGCCTTTCCTTCACGCAACCGGATTGGTGCTAATGTAGTGCATTGCAGTGAGTCGAGGGCGCGGTGAGCGGCCCCATGTTGATGTTAATGGGCTCGGCGCGTTGTCGACTCTCTGCGTTGCACCATGCGATTTGACAGCCCCAGTGATGCCTGCGCGGATTGTCTTGAGTATTCTTCGAAGCAGTTGGAAGCCCATCGCCCAAGGAGTTTAATCGATAGTCTGTCAGCTCCTCCAGCCACTAAAGCTGTGGCACCACCGATACGAATGGAGTGACTGGCGTAGTCTTTAGCTGATACTCCAGCACGTCATGCTGTCCGCTTCAAAGCTCTTGACACCGTTCCCGCACTTAGATTTCCGCAGAGGTGCGGCTCATGCTGAAGATTAAGTTCTTGCCGTGCTTTCTGAATATGGTACAGACCTCGGATCGGGCATACTTCTGCATCTCCGGACGCATGCACTGTCCGCCACGCTGCTCGACCATGCTGGTCGTTTTTGGCGCCCTCGAGTCCAATTGTTACTGATGTAGCTTGTGTGTACCCAACTTCTTGACCATCTTGATCGGAGAAGAATGCGTTGCTGTTCTTGAGACAGTAGAAGTGTCTTGTGTGGTCGATCATCAAATATTCGGATCTTCTAAGCATGAAGAAGAAGCCGATCAATATGCTACCCCACAGAAGCCGCTGTCGTGGTTTCGAGAAGTCGAGACTACGGCGAAGAAGGCGCAGAAATGGCATGGTGAGAGGTTGCTTCTTCCGTTTGGGGGATGAAAGACGCTTAATACCCTGCAGTAGCATAGCCAAACGAGGTGTTGCTGGCAGTGTCAGGTCCTTGTATCGTCGATGGAACCATTTAACGCTGGCCAGTTTGAGGTTGATAGTGCCCAGTTGGTTGCCTCGCTGATAGCGATTCGCCCCATGGGCCCAGGAGACCGTGGCGAAGTAGCCTAGTCGACGAGATGAGTTCTTTTCGTTCAGCCAACGTGACCACCCCATTTTGTGCGCGAATCTGCACCATTGACGCCAATGCGCGAGATATTTGGAATGGGTAGAGCTTGCCAGGGAGTGTCGGAGTAGCAGCGATCCCATACGGCTGAGAGATCGTCGAAAGGAGGCTCGATGTGATCCTGTAACCACGGCGCAGAAAAATTAGTCCATAACTTTGCTGCCTGATCATTGCTACTCCATGCCCGGGATCCAGCGTCAGCCATGACATTTAGTTTCCCTGGAATGTGTGTTGCCGTACACACAAGGTTGTACTGGAACTCGGCATGTGATAGTTTTCGATTGTACAGCTGAGCAGTTGGATGCTTGCTGGCTCGTTTGTTTGCCCACGTAACAGCGGATGTGTTATCAATGTGAAATTGGACATGAAGTGGAGACGTACTGGTTGGACTGTGCCAATGCGGTCCCCAATGTAGAACAGCGAGAACCGCACTGCGTAATTCCCTCACGTTGATTGATAGCGTCTTGGATTCTTCGTGTGAAAACCGTTGACGAATGTAGCGCTTGAAATTTGGTTCTAACGCACAAAGGCCTTGTCCACTAGCATCCATGAAAACATGAACTGCTGGTTCGGATAGATCTGCAAACTGAGCTACTGGTATCGAATTGAACTTGACAGGGTTCTGGAGAACAGCAAGAAACCAGTGCAGATCGTCTCGAGCATCTGCGAGCAGTTGCCGTTGGCCGAATTTTGGCAGCGAATTTGCAGTAAACTGAAGTCGCTGGAAAAACGCGCGAGCTGGGCGAGAGCAGCTCGCAACATGACGAAGACTTCCGATAGTTTTTAGAACTGCTGTCTTAGTGATCGATCGAGCTCCAAGCAGATTCGAGATACGCTGAACGGCCTTGTTAATCTTGTCCGCTGGAATCGACACACAACCAGATTCCGTATCCCAGAGAAGGCCAAGGGCTTTTACGACAGTGGACCACGATGTAAATTTAAGTTCGTTGATTGCAGTGGGCCCCAAAACACTCGCCATGGCTCGCCGAAGCGCAATATTCGCATCAAAACAACGGTTACCTTCGTCAAGCTCAACGCAGGTGTGGTCGTCGCACCATACGCTACCAGAGAACTGTTGTGTGAGTTGGTTTCCAAACTCGTACGAATAGTTAATAAGCTTCCCAGCCAATGAGTAATATGATGGGGAACCGCACCACCCAAACCCACAGGATAGATCA